AAACTGTACAGAAGAGAAGTAAACTTCAGGGACTATTGTTTCAGCACAAGTGCTGCTGAATTTTTGCCCTCTACGAGGAGTGATACAGTTGAAGAATAATTATGATACATCAGAGAGTCCCATTTACCTTACAGTCGAAAACAAGAGATTTCTTCCTCAAATTTTGTAATGGCTTGTTAATTTCTGTGAGAAATCTTTCATATTCCCCCATTTTTTCTTTGTACACTCGATGTCATACAGTTGTCATAATACAGTGTCGCAGTTCAGCTGAGATATTTGAAGCTTCACATGGATAGTCCAAGTGAAAATGTCATTATATGCTGCATGAGCTATGAAATTTATGCTTTACAAGGTACTTTCATGAAAGAAGATATGTTAGGAGGCCCTATGCAAAACTAGAAAGAAGCTAGGGATGTTTTTTTGGATGATGTATTTGTTTATGTATGTAATCAAATTTCATGATGTAATCTGCGCCAACTTGGTCTTAACCAAGCTATCAGGAAGATTAATTATCATTAGCTTTTTGATTTACAAATCTCTGAAGTTATTTTCGATGAACTCTTGTGGTCTACAAAGTTCGGTTTAAATTAAAAAGAACAAAAGAACTGAGAGGACTGAATTAAGTAGTTAAATCAGGGTGTGCAAAATTAAATCTGTTTAAGTTGTTTTTTTTTTTTTGTTTAAATGGTTTTGGGGTAAAAAATCTAGGCTTAATTGGTTCAGTTTTCAATTTTAAAAATTCAAAGCTGCAAAGAACTAAATTATTTTTTTAAAAATGTTATATATAATTATATTTAGTAAAAAATATATATTATACATATATTTTTAGTGGGTTACTTCTGTATCCACTAATATTTCATTAAGGACACTCTAAGGTTCTAAATATCTCTGTTTTTTCCTTTTTAGTTTTCTTCTAAAAGGTCTGAAATGGTTTCTATCCTCGTTGAAAAAAAAAGACTAAAACTAGTGTTTTATTTTTAATTTCAAGTACATGTTGAATGATAATTCGGCCATTTACTTTTAGCTTACTACCAATAAATTATAGCATTACCAGCACTTAAATTATAGGTAAATTTTCCCATTAATTTTTCTTCAAGAGATTTACATAGTGTCAGCAGTCTCTTTAATGGAAGTTGCTATACTAAAATTTTTTAAGTAAAAGCCTCAATGTTAATGATAAATTAATTAGCTTTGGTCTATTTTAAAAATAAATTTAGCCTTCTTTTTTTCCTAAAGTATTCTTGGGAATTAAAATAACAGGAAAACGCAGGGGAGCGGATATTCCCCGCTTCCACATATGAGCAAAGCCTAATCTCACCAGTCAGTGCACGGAACTCTTACAGCTGTCAATTACCAGAAGACATTTAACTGTACCTCTAGGGATGTTTTTATCATAACCCCACAACTCCCCTCGCGAACGACCACAAAAGCGTTGTCGTTTAATCCGTCCGTTCGAAAGAGAGAGAGGAGGAAAGCGGACACGCTCGAGAACGTGCTCAACCTGTCTCCGGCAGCTACTCCGGCGATCACTGCTTAGCTCGGAGAACTCTCTAATCTTGTCAGGTTTTCTTTCCTTTGCTTTTCCCTGATTCGTGGCTGATCTCGTTTTTTCTAACAATTTCAATTTCTATCAAATTGTGGAATTTTAAATATGATTTGACCACATCAAGAGAAATGGCTGATACCTTTATATTGTTTAATGAAGAGGTTGTGTAGAAGTTTGATCTTCTTTCGTGATCGGAGATTATTAAGTTTTCTTTTTTCTTGCTCGCAAATCAAATTTAGTTTGCATCTAAGTGGTAGAATCGTTAACATATTGACCTTGCGTAAATCCTGTTGATATGAGTCTAAGTTCATATTACTTCATGATTGGTTGATCAGAATTCTTGACTCAGATTGCCTTTTTGGGGGAAAGATGAGTGAAGTATTCGAAGGGTACGAGCGCCAGTACTGCGAGCTCTCCGCTAATCTTTCGAGGAAGTGTACCTCAGCTGGTGCTCTTGGTGGAGGTGAGATAATAGATGTGAATGTTACAGTTAATAAGTTTGATTTTCAATAAAGATCTCCTTAGGTTTTTCAGTTCCCTGTCCCCTACCGTCCGGTCCCCTCCCTTCCCTCTCCCCCCGGCCATCATCCCCTGGGGCTAAAACTTTTACTTGAAGTTTACTTCCAAAAAACTCGTTTTTACGGTCTCAACCTTTTTTTTCCAAAGAAAAAACTATTTCTTTACCTCTATCTCGTGCTAAGTTTTCTGATTGAGCTATTTACTGCTGTACTTAATTACCATGCTTTAGAAGAACATAAATTATTATTCTGAATTCCATCTTTTTCGTTAGCTGAATCTAAGACCAAATAAAAGTGTATGCGCATGGGAAATAGTATCTAATATTTTGAATTGAGGTTGATAACTTCTTGTGCAACTGAAAAGCTAGTGCCTTTATGATTCTTTTTGTGTGTGTATGAAAGTTGTTTTAATTGTTTTTTATTTTTATCGGAACATCCTCTACCATGCCTTCTAAGATTCTACTATAAAGGAAAAAGGGGATGTGGGTAGTTGCATTTTTTGATACCGATAAAGAGGAAGATCTAAATCTTATATGATTTTGAGCTCAAGATATATGGAATATTCTTAGCCAAATTAAAGATGTGTGCGGTACCACAAAATTGTTGCTTTTCTTTCTTGCATTTATTATTTTCCTAGGTAATTCAAGCTTAAGTTTTCATTGGGATGTGCCTTTGTATAAGAAAAAGCTTTAGTTCGGAACGGTTTGGGATTTACTTCACATGCAGGGATTCAGGGAGATAATGTGGGTTTTACTTTGCAAGTTCAGACTCTAATTTTTTTTAGATATAACATGAGGTTAGGAATACAAAGCTGAAAATATAAGTGAGCAACTTAAGAACAAAGCATTAGGTTCCAAAATACTATACCAATCTTGTACTGTACGTAAATCATGAAGCCAGAATTTGACAAACTCAATGGTGTCTGCAGGGGATAAGAGTTGGGTTATATATGGATAGTTTGCTTTTGCTGAAACTGATAAACTGAAGGAAGATTAAACTTCAAATTTTTATATGATTTTGAGATGAAGATCCATGGAATATTTTGAGTCAAATTAAAGACAGTGCACTAAGTTCCATACAGTTGTTGCTTTTCCTCTCTTGCTTTTTGTCATTTTTCTAGGTAAAACCAAGCTTTTAGTTTTCCATCTAAACATGATTTTGTAGAAGAGAAGGGATTATATATCAGAGTGGGTAAGGATCTACTTCACATCCAGGGATGCAGACAGTGGGATTTTAGTTATATGAATGTGCTAACATGAGCTTTTAATGAATTTGAATCTGGAAATATAAATTCACATCTTGAGAATCAAGTATCTGTGATATAAGACATACTGCAGTTAATTTGCCCACTTAGCATTTGGGATAAATTCAAGGATTCTTTGATATTACTCCATGGAATTAGGATGATTGACAGCAAATTAACTAGAAGTTACACCTAGGATCACTTAAGCATCAAACTAAGGTGGGTTCCTAAGCATCATATCTTAAATTTGATTGCATCACACAACTAAGAAATTGAGAAAAGTTATGATAATTTTGCTGATTAAATGCTTCATTTAAAAAAGAAATGATTTTTTATAAGAAAAAAATGCTATATTTTCACATTGCACTGCAAAATATCAATAAGGTCCCTAAGATCCTTATTATAGTGTAGAGGTCGGCCTCTAATAAAAAAACTCGAGACATGGAACCATGTTTCTTTAAATTTATCAAAATTAAACTCTACCATCTCAAAAGCTCTTTTGTTCCTTTCCTTTCAGATGATCTAAATGAGGGATAAGCCTGGCAGTCTTCTTGTTACTCTGAAGTCCTCTCCATGCCCACAACTCCCCTTAATACTACAGTCACGACCCAACTCACATCCAATAGGCTATACTAAAGGCGAGTGTATGGGCACCACATGATAATATGGTTGCAAGTCTCTGCATCATTCTTGCACAGAAAAAAACCATTGACCAAGACCATGCCCCTTTTGATTAGCCTATCCATGGTCAAAATCACTCCCAAATCACTTTGCAAGCAAAAAGCCCACCCTGTGAGTGGCCATCACTATCCATACCCGATTAGAAGGGAGCTTGATGGGTTGATCTTCATTCTTGAATAGGTACTAATAATAAGAGCTAATTGAGAAAGGGCCCTTTGACAATAGACATCAAACCATGAATCCAGGTCCCTGGAAACCGTAATCTGAGATAAAGCATTTTGAAGACACACGAAACTCTCCAACTGCCAATCATGCATTTGATGCACCTTCCCCACCATAACAATTTTCCACATATCAACCCTGTGAGGCATAAGGAGACATAGCAAACCGTCTAAGGTCAGAAATACCAACTTTAGCTCCTATCACATTTCTCCAACGCTGTTCTGCTCCCTCATGAATCTCCTGAACCACTTTCCTTGGAGAGCTTTATTGAACTCAATCAAGGGCCTCATGCCCAACCCGTTCCTCTGCGGTGCCTGCTTCGCCAAATTCCAAGCCTTAAGATGATTCCTCCTCTTGTTCTCAGTGTCTGCCGACAAAAATCTGTATTAAATCCTTTCGAGTCTCTTAGCTACACTAACTGATATAATGGTCAGAGCCATAAAATAGATAGGGATATTGCTATAGACCTCTTGATGAGTGATTTGCCACCCTTAGACAGCAAGCCCTGCTAGATGTGATTCAAATCTATTAATCACAAGATCCCAGGACTGAGTTCGTCGAACTTAAGGAAGGCCCAAATACTTGATTGGAAGGTTGACTAGTTTACAGCCTAAAGTAGACATAAAGTGCTCACCATTTCCATAGCTACCCAGCTAAACCAATTTTGATTTTTCCAAATTGATTTTTAAACCTGAGATTGCTTGGAAACAAAGAAGCAAATATTTTATATTTAATAGATCCTAGGGCTTTGGCTGACAGAATGAGAGGGTATCATCTGCAAAAGAACAAGTGAGTCACTTCTACTTTAGCTCCGAAATTCCCCACTTGCAACTCACTAAACAAATGAAGCTCCCTCACCTTAAGCAGTAATTTGCTCCAAACTTCCATAACCATTATGAATCAGCAATGAAGATAGGGGATCCTCCTGTCTCAGCCCCCTTGAAGGCTTAAAGAAACCAAAACAATTGCCATTAACCCAAACATCAAAAGAAGTAGAGATGATTCAAGTTTTTAACCACAAACTCCACTTGACCCCGAAACCAGCCTATCAAGCATGTAAAATAAAAAGCTCCATTAGACATGATCATCTACTTTTTTCATATCACCCGTCCTTCCTCATAACATCGTCAACCACCTCAGTAGCAATCAGGGCAGCATTAAGAATTTGTCTTCCCTCAACAAATGCACGAGAAAGAAGGATTCACCCTAGAATTTTGACCAAGTCCATTTGTTTCCATTAAAGGGTGAGTTCATAAGATTAACTTAGTTCAACACTCATTCAATTCATCAGCACAGGTTCTGGAGTAGTTCCCCTATGATCTCCCAATACTGAAACTGGACCATATTAAAATCACCACCAGTCGCCTAAGTAAAATCCCATCTACTCCTGCAATCCTCCAAATCACCCTGTGACTTCTCCCTCTCCCGCCCCTCTCCCGGGCCATAGACCCTGGTGAACATCGAGACCTATCCAATAGCCTTACAATGGAAGATGCGCGAGATTGAACACTCCTGAACATTGTCCATAATTGTGGGCAAGTCCCTCCACCTCACCTCCGTAGTATTCCATAAACTATGGCACCAATTGATCAGAACATGAATCAAGCTTGGTTTATTGGAAGCAGTTAACATATGGCTTCAATTTAGATGTAGAACCTTTAACAATCATTTTCTTACTAGCACTATCCAATCCCCTTGCATTCCAGGAGATGATTTTGTATGACACGGTAAAACAATCGAAGAAACTCTTTTCTTTCCCTTCTCCCCCTTATTTGGCTTGTAGTAGTTGACAAAGCATTTTAATCTTTTTAGCTCTTTTCCCTAACCACCTCATTCTTCCTTTTAACTGCTAACTTCTGGATTTTCATGCTTGTCCTCTCTCCCTTAATCCTTAGAATTGCCTGACACAACCTGAAAGCCTGATCTTCGAAATTTTGGAAACTCACTCCCAGCAACTTCCTGATGTTCTCAATATTTTGTGAGTATCTGTTCCTCATTTTCTCCTCCCTCATTAAAACGTCCTTCCTTGTCTCCCAACACTGCCATAGCCCACTCTTGCTTCTTTTCCTCAAATGCTGACCCAGCGAAACCAGTTCCACTGTATTCGAGCAGATAGCTAATGACAAGGGACTGATTTTTGCCACATGTGCCATCATCAACACTTCATTCCAAACCCCCTTCCTTTCACACAAAAGCTCCTTCCTCTGCCCCTCTCTGCTACACCCCTCTTCCTCCACTGCTACATTTTGTACAACCTCCACTTTTTCCATCGTGCAAGGACGGATGCACTCTCAAGTACTAGTAATCCAAAACTCATCCTTCAATGAGCTATCCGATAGCCCGTGGGCTTGCATCCCCTAGCCCGTGGGCTTGCAGGCAGGTACTGTGGACCTCCCAAGTGAATGGGTTTAAAAATCTGGGCTCGGTTGGTCGAGTTTAAATGTAAATTTTGTCTGACCTGAAAGTTGAATGGATCCTGTCTTCTTTACTCACCTCTCTGCCCTTGGAGCCCCACTGGTCTTTCCACCTTTCTTCACTTCTACCTTCTTGCTATCCCAGCATACGATTTCTTCTTTGCACTCACCATCAACACAAAGAACTGTGTGCTACAGCTAGGGTAGTAGGTAAAGCTGATTGTGTGTGTCTGAGAATGAACCAGTTCAAGCTTGGGAATGGCCAAAAGTTTGAGCTTTTGCCTCACAATCCCCATCTCCAGAGGTTTAATCGGCTTCCTCGTGATGTTTCAATGTAAACAAGTGTTTTCTACCATCCTCTAGCTTGAGGACATTCTGGAATAACCACTCGTCTCCTGCCGTCCTTCTCTCCGTCAATGCCAAAAAAACAGCCTCCAGCTTTGATGCCCAGAGAAACTCACAGGGTGTGGCGAGCAACTACTAAGCTTCTGACCCAGGAGCTTGTATTATCCGCACACAGAACCCTTATCCATTCTCGCAGACCTTGATTCTTTCAACTGCTCTTCCTACAAGTTCGAAGTTGAAATCCTTTCTACAACCTGAAACCTCTTGGCTATGGAGACAATCTCTTGCCTATGTTGCCTCATACTAACTATATGAGGTAAATGGCGATATTATTAATTTATTGTTATACTAATTCAGATCCATACATGCCAAACAGTTCCTTTATTTCAGATCCACCATTGTCTTCTCTTTCACTTTTCTATTTAGTTTTATCTGGATCAGTTCCTTTATATCAGCAACCAGAATGTTTTCTTTTTTGTTGAGTTTGTGTTATTGTTTGTCTCTTCATTTTAATTTTACCGTGGCTTATAATTTGCAGAGCAAAAGAAGCAAAAACTTTCTGAAGTAAAAGCTGGAGTCGAAGATGCTGAAGCTTTGGTATGTAACTTATTGGTGATCACTTCTTAGCTCTTTCCGAATTTGGTCCTTGATGTGGTTATCTTTTTTCCAGATTCGGAAAATGGATCTCGAGGTGAGAAGTTTGCAGCCTCATGTTAAAGCGGTGCTTCTTACTAAGTTAAGAGAGTATAAATCTGATCTGAACAATCTGAAAAATGAAGTTAAAAGAATTTCATCTGGAAATTTAAATGCAGCTGCTCGAGATGAGCTACTCGAATCTGGAATGGCTGATGCAATGACGGTATGTTCGAACTCTCATCTCTGTTATATCTGTGGTTCAAAAATAAAAAATGTCATGATAACTCAGGTGCTTTTTAATTGCTTTAAAATTTTGTTTTTCATCTTTGGGAAATGGCAGTTCGAGTATTTATTCTCTGTATAAAGAACCATTTCATTGACTAGTAAACCATCTTGTGCACTATAAATTCTATTCATATATTGTCCATATTCCTTCATGTACATGAATTTTTAACTTACTTGATTTATGCAAATGTAATAGGCATCAGCCGATCAAAAATCAAGATTATTGATGTCTACAGAGCGATTGAATCAGACCAGTGGCAGAATCAAAGAAGGTAGAAGAACCATGCTAGAAACAGAAGAACTTGGTGTTTCAATTCTTCAGGACTTGCATTCTCAGAGACAGTCTCTTTTACATGCTCACAACACGGTATAAGTTCTCTAATGTGGGTGGTTTTTGGTTTCTAATTATTTGATTACTCACATTTACTTTCTCGTGTTCCTCCTATATCAAACCATGCAAACTTCGTTTGCGGAATTGATAACTTCTCTTTTTATTTTTGTCTGGTTCCCTTGCAATAGATATTTACATTGTCATGTTTGTATTTGGCTGTGTATGTGATGCCTGTTTCCCAGTAACGGATTTCTTCTTTCTATACTTCCCATGCAATATATGTTACATTTTCGAGTTTGTATTTGGTTGTATATGTGAGACCCGTTTCCAAGCAATAGATGGTAGTTATGCCACTTCTACTAGTTGTCGCAAGCCAATAATGTTGAGAGTGTGAAGAGTTACTTTTAACAAGCATAACTCATTGTCTTCTTTTGCAGCTCCATGGAGTGGATGATAACATCGGGAAGAGCAAGAAAATTTTGACTGGCATGTCAAGGAGGATGAGCAAGAACAAATGGATTATCGGCTCTATAATTGCAGTCCTCGTAGTGGCTATCTTACTGGTTTTGTACTTCAAACTTTTGAAATAAGCAAACACATTATGCTGTCTGTTATTTGGTTTTTGCATGTGGGAGTAACACGCCTTCCTTTTTTATTTTTATCTTTTTATGTCATTTGTGGTTCTTGCTGTGAGATATATGCTTTAGGTGGTAGCGTAAATGCGCTCGTGCATCTTTAACTTTGGTTCTTCTGGTTCATTTAATCCCATGGGGTGGAATCAAGAACTGTTCTTGATGTGGTCTTCTTTCTTTTGTCTGTCATGCTTATTTGGAACTAGTAAGTAATAAAATTTACATTATATTTGTAGATGAATTTAACAATTAATTTATTTATAAATGAATTTTGATATTTGAAATAAATTATGAAATTTAAGATATTTCATGGAAGTCATCAACGAAGAAAAAAGATAAATAACTGGATCGATTACGTGCATTCTGAAGTTTATTTTTAGAATTGATCTAATTTGGTCGAAATTTGAATTGCTCGGTTTTTATAATTTCGTTCTAAAAGGAAGCATTACACTTTGATTAAATTAGTGTAGTTATATTTCACGGACTACAAGATTAATTCATAAAGAACATTATAATAAATTTGAATTTATAACATTGTTAATTTTTATTGATAGACATTAATATTTAAAAAGAAATAAATTTTAAATATTATTATTTAGTGATTAAAATACTAATTATCACAACTAATAATATTGTATGTTCAAACTTATAATAACACCATCTAATAACCTATCTTAATTTTAAAAGAAGAAAAGAAAATAATTTGTTTTTGAAAAATAACATTAATTTAATGATATTAAAAAAAAAAAAAGTAACTGAATTAAAAATTTTATTCAAAGCAACATCAACGAAAAATTCACTACAAAAATGCTGTATGGAGACGTCCTTACGCACAAGACGGTGCGTTTTACTTTTGTAGTAACTGAGCCGTTAGCCGCCAAAAACCGGTAGTCTTCTGCTGGAAATGTTCTCTTCTTGCCACCACCCAGAAAATTCAGCCACGGGAGAAATCACCCATAACTAGAATTAGCTAGTCGATCAAGAATCACCCATCTGTCTTGCTAGCCTCTTATGAAATGCTTAACCAGTCACCTCCGTTCCCTTATTCGTCAATGCACTCGGCGTTCGTCTCTACCTACTGGGAGGAAAATCCATGCCATTATCCTTACCACAGGCCTTGCCAACATTCCCACCTCCTTCCTCAACAATACTCTTCTTCAGTTTTATGCTGCTTGTGGCGACACCTTCTCTGCTCGCCAACTGTTCGACAAAATTCCCTCTTTCTACAAGGATTATGTGGATTGGACTGCTCTCATGTTCTCTTATGCCCGCCATACTTTTCCACGAAATGCACTGCATTTGTTTGTTGAAATGCGGAGAGGAGGAGTGAATATAGATGATGTTGTGATGGTTTGTTTATTTGGTGTTTGTGCGCACTTGGAGGATGTAGGAATGGGGATTCAAGGGCATGGCTGCGCAGTGAAGACGGCCTTGCTGGAAAGTGTGAAGGTAGGGAATGTGGTCATGGATATGTACGGGAAGTGTGGGTTGGTGGGGGAGGTTAGATGCTTGTTTGAGGAAATGGACCAAAGGAGTGTTGTGTCATGGACTGTTCTTTTAGATAACACCGTGAAATGGGAAGGTGCGGAGAGTGGAAGAAGAGTATTTGATGAGATGCCGGAGAGGAATGAGGTGTCTTGGACTATTATGATTGTGGGATATGTGAGAAATGGGTTTACGTGTCAGGGTTTTGCACTTCTTGGTGATATGTTGAGTTTATGGGGCTCTTCCAATTTTGTTACTCTTTGTTCAATTTTATTAGCTTGTGCGCAGTCAGGGGATGTGATCATGGGTCGATGGGTTCATGTTTATGCTTTAAAGTTAATGGGGAACTGGATGAATATCATGGTGGGAACGGCTTTGGTAGACATGTATGCAAAGTCTGGGCGGATAAGTAGTGCATATAAAGTTTTTCAGCATATGCCACAAAGGAATTTGGTGACATGGAACGCTATGCTTAGTGGGTTAGCAATGCATGGAAAAGGCACACTTGTGTTGGATATTTTTCCAAAAATGATCAAAGAAGTAAACCCTGATGATCTAACTTTTATAGCTGTCTTAAGTGCTTGCAGTCACTCAGGTCTGGTAGAAAAGGGTTGGGAGTATTTCAAGAATCTTGAATCTGTATATGGTTTAAAACCAAAGGTTGAACACTATACCTGCATGGTAGATCTTCTGGGCAGGGCTGGTCGCTTAGAAGACGCTGAAATCTTAATAAAGCACATGCCTATGCCTCCAAACAAGGTTCTTCTAGGCTCTCTTTTGGGTTCCTGCAGTGTCCATGGGAAACTGCAGTTGGGAGAAAGGCTTCTACGGCAGCTAGTTGAAATGGAGCCCTTTAATACAGAGTATCATATTCTGCTTTCTAATATCTATGCAATGGCTGGAAAACAAGACAACGCTAATTTGCTCAGACAGATTCTTAAGAACAGGGGAATTAGAAAGGTTCCAGGGATGAGTTCTATTCATGTTGGGGGCCAAGCTCATCAGTTCAGTGCTGGAGATAGGTCACACCCGAGAATGCAGGAGATATATCTCAAGTTAGATGATGTGATTCGGAGGTTGAGGTCGGCTGGTTATGTTCCCAATACTACACTCCATGTATTCTCTGGTATTGAGAGGGATAACACTGAGGGGGTAGAGGAGAAGGAACAGGCTTTGTTCTCACACAGTGAGAAATTGGCAGTCTGTTTAGGCCTCATAAGCACAAAGCCTGGAACGCCTCTTTACATATTCAAGAATTTACGTATATGCCAAGATTGTCATTCTGCCATAAAGATTATCTCGAAGATATACAGCCGGAAAATTGTTGTTAGAGACCGCAATCGTTTTCATTGCTTCCATGAGGGTTCATGTTCTTGTTCTGATTACTGGTGATAGAAATTATTTTTCTGGTTCTAAATATACAATAAAATGTAATTCATTTTCCTTCTTACATAAAATCTGTATTTGTAGGTGACAAGTCTGTGCAGTTTATTCCTTTCAGATCATGTCAAAATCTAGTTGTTGGTAAGTACTCTCTACCCTTACTTCAACCTATTCTTTGCCTATTTTTACTTTAATGATTGTACTTCAATACTATTTTTTTAAGAAATAAAAGTGATGGTGACTCTCTTTCTTTGTCTTCCCCTTTTCTCTCTCTTACTTCCTGTCTTGCTCCAAGTTTGATTTAATTCTTTTTCTTCTTCTTCCAGATTCTGGTGCAATATAAAACATTTTGTCTCAGAATTCATAAAAAGATTTCATACTCAACCTCTGAATAAGACATTACACAGTGAGCAAGATGAAGTTTGCTAGTAAATAGACGAACTGGTCAACACTTCCAATCCAATGTTGCTGTGGTACTTATATATCAGTTTTCTATTTGAGTTTCTTATTCTGATGATGTGGCATTTCATAGCAAGCTCAAGAAAGAAGAAACTTGTTTAGTTAAGACGTTTATGGCAGAAGAGAATTAGGGAAATTTCTGTGGGTATGCTTTCCAAGAGTTAAAAAATCCGACGTTTGTCCCCTAATCTCAATAATAGCTAGGTCCCACTTGGTCAAAACTCAGTATTTTTTTTTTTGAGATAAAAATACATGTATATTACGTATATGACACCAAGGGGGTGTCGCCCCTATACAAAGAATTTACAAATTGGTTAAAGTATCAATAACCCTCTCAAAATCATCCCACTTGTACATGTCATGACCCAGAATCAGAATCCCAAAAGTATGAAACAATTTTATGCAGAACTCAAGATCAATTAACGTGATCAGAAACTCACACAATTTCATTCAAGGCACTAAACGAATTTGATCTTATGAAAACTCTCCCTATTTAACCCTCTATCAAGAATGATAGGAAGTAAGATCACTGGAAAACAAAGAATTAAAAGAAGAATGGAAAAACACCACAAGAAACCTTGATAAGTAGATCTATTTCTTACTCAATAGGAAGTATGAAGCCACATCTCTTGAATAAAACTCACAATATTATTAATTTTAATATTGAATAATTATAATGAAAACTTGATGGCTTATTTATAGGGTAAGCCATGTGAATAAAAAGGTAATAAAAATTTCCTAATTAAAATTGCAATTATATAGGAAATTAATTAAAATTAAAGTCTAAATCCCTAAGTTGCAATTATATAGGAAATTAATTAAAATTAAAGTTTAAATTCTTAATTAGGTGCAATTACATAGGAAATTAATTAAAATTAAATCTAAATTCTTAACTAGGATAGATATGGTCTTTTTCCTTTTCTTGGCCGATTGCTTCATTTTCTTACTCATTTCCATCATGTGCTTGAAGCAAGTTGATAAGACCATTATGCCTTTGGGTTAATTAGTTGGATAACTTATTTCCTTGGGCTTTTTTAGTATATCGTTTCCTTGGGCTTTTTTAGTATATCAAAACCCATTTTCCTCATTAATCCAAGCTTGGATGACGAGTTGGAAAACTTGTTGTAGTCCTTGGGTCTGGCTCCTTGTTATGGGCCCACTTAACATGATGATATCTCTTCCAAGTGGCTCAAAATGATCCATGCTCACATCATGTCCTTCATCTTCATGAGGATTCATCCTCGAATCTGGATCTACATCGAAAAAGGAAATGTTAGCAACATTAAAGGTGGTGGAAATGCCATACTTACTTGGGAGGTCTATCTTGTAGGTATTGTCATTGATGCGCTTCAAGATTTAGAATGGGTTACCTCCTCTGGGGTCCAGTTTTGACTTTCTTTTTTTAGGAAATCTTTCTTTCCTCATATGGATTTATACATATTCTTTAGGTTGAAATGTGACTTGTTTTCTCCTTTTATTGTCTTTACGGGCATATGATTCGTTCTTTTTCTCCAAGTGTTCTCATATTTTTTGTGTATAGTTTCGATTAACTCTGCTCTTTATTGTCCATCCAGATTAACAAGTTCCTATAAAGGTAAAGGAGTTAAATCAAGTGGGGTTAATGGGTTAAACTCATTTACAATCTTAAAATGAGATATACCGGTGGAAGAGTGAATAGTCTTGTTATAAGTAAACTCCACTAAAGGTAAACACTCTTCCCATGTTTTTAAATTTTTTTTCACTACCACCTTTAATAGGGCTCTTAGAGTCCTATTAACTACTTCTGTCTGTCCATCTGTCTGGAGGTGACAGGCAGTGGAAAATAACAGTTTAGTTCCTAATTTGTTGTACAAGACTCTCCAAAAGTGACTTAGGAACTTGACATCCCTATTACTAACTATGGCCCTAGGGACACCATGTAGCCGCACGACATCACTAAAAAACAGATTGGCTATACTTGGTGCATCATCTGTTCTATGACATGGTATAAAATGTGTCATTTTATTGAATCTGTCTACTACAACGAATATACTATCACTTCCTCGTTTAGTCCGAGGTAATCCTAACACAAAATCCATAGATACATCCATCCATGGTTGCTGATGAAATGGGTAACGAAGTGTACAGTCCGTGCGGTAAAGACCTAGACTTGGTCTGCCTACATGCAATACACTTTTCACACACTCGCTCTACGTCCTTGCGCATGTTAGATCAGTAAAAGTGTTTCTGTAGGATATTTAAAGTTTTAGCTACCCTAAAATATCCCATGAGTCCCCCTCTATGTGAATCACGTACTAACAGTTCCCACTAAGAGTATACAAGTACGTACAATTTTTCATCTTTAAACATAAACTCATTGTGCCGATAGAACTTATAGAAGACACATTTTTCACATGCTGCATAAACATTAGCAAAGTCACTATCATTGGGATATAATTCCTTAATATACTTAAAGTCTAACAATTTAAAACTAAGAGTTGTAAGTAATACATACTTCCGTGACAATGCATCCGCTACAATATTGTTCTTACCTTTCTTGTACTTGATAACATAAGGAAATATTTCAATGAATTCTACTCACTTACCATGTCGGCGGTTGAGCTTACCATGTCCCTTTAGATGTTTTAATGATTCATGATCTGTGTGGATCACGAACTCCTTGGACAAGAGATAATGCTGCCATACCTCTAGTGCTCTCACTAGTGCATACAGTTCTTTGTCATAAGTTGAATAATTAAGGGATGCGCCATTGAACTTTTCACTAAAATAGGTAATGGGGCGCCCTTCCTGTAACAGTACTGCTCCTACACCGATACCTGAAATATTACATTCAAATTCAAATGTTATTAAAATTTGGTAATACTAGAATAGACGCACTAGTGCATACAGTTCTTTGTCATAGGTGGAATAATTAAGGGATGCACCATTGAGCTTTTCACTAAAATAGGTAATGGGGCGCCCTTCCTGTAGTAGTACTGCTCCTACACTGATACCTGAAGCATTACCTTCAAATTCAAATGTTATTAAAATTTGGCAATACTAGAATAGATGTAGCACACAACTTTTCTTTAAGTAAGGTAAAAACATTTTCATGTTTGTCAGTGTATACAAATTTTATATCATTCTTAACAAGTTCATTTAAAGGTGCAACTATAGAACTGAAATCCCTTACAAGCCGTCGGTAGAAATTGGTTAGTCCATGGAAACTCCTCACCTCGCTTGCAGTCTTAGGCGTAGGTCAATCTCTAATGGTTTTTACTTTCTCGTCATCTGCTTCAATACCTTGTATGCTAACAATAAAGTCTAAAAAGATTAGTTTTTTATTACAACAGGTACACTTTTTAAGGTTAACATACAACTTTTCTTTTCGTAGTATCTCTAGGACACTTTTAATATACTCAATATAATTTTCTAATAATTTGCTATATATTAAAATGTCATCAAAGTAAACAATTACAAATTTACTAAGATATGGCCGTAAAATATGATTCATTAAACGCATGAAGGTGGTAGGAGCATTAGTCAACCCAAAGGGCATAACCAACCATTCATACAAACCGTATTTCGTTTTGAAGGCAATCTTCCACTCATCTCCGGGATTCATACGGATCTGATGGTAGCCACTCTTCAAGTCGATCTTGGTGAAGACGCTTGCACTGCTTAACTCGTCGAGCATATCATCAAGTCAGAGAATGGGATGTCTATAATTAACTGTGATTTTATTCACGGCCTGACAATTCACACACATCCTTGAAGACCCATCCTTCTTGGGTACCAATAGGACTGGCACTGCACAAGGATTCAGACTTTCACAAATATATTCCTTCTCCAACAACTCCTCTACCTGTCTCTGAAGCTCCTTTGTTTTCTCGAGATTGCTTCGATAGGCGGGTCGGTTGGGAATCGATGATTCGGGGGCGAAGTCGATCCGGTGCTCAATCTCTCGTATCGGTGGTAATCCATCTGGTATCTCCTCTAGAATACGTCCTCAAATTCCTGCAAAATAGACATAGAACACTATGTAAAGAGGGGTTAAAGTCAGTTAAACTCAAATAGCCTCCTTATATTGAAGTACAACTAGATTTTGTTTCTCACAATACGCTCTCCTCAACT